GCCTCTCTGAAGTCTATTTGCATTTAAAAAAGGGTTGTCCATTTTGTCCTCATGAAGATATACAAAAGTCTCCTTGCTTTAGATATGCTTCTCATTTATATTAATTATATTGAGGTGAGAGAAACTTGTTCCACATCCAAGATTTACTTCTTGGGGACAGTTTCTTAGAGAATAGAGAAGGGTCTTAACCCACTGGATCCAGATACTTAACTGCCCATACATGGCCCAAAATACAGGCATTGGGCATACTTAAGTGGCCATTCTGCTGGGTGTACGGCTTGTAGGCTGGGCGAACATGAACAATTAAGCGGTGAAGACTCCTTCCCTCCCATTTGCAATGTTATTTTATCTTTTTCTTTATAAGTGTTTTTAGCAGTGATGCCATTTTCCAATGTAAATATTTATCACTTGATTTGCTTTATCCAGATGGTAATAAATTGTTTTCCTTGCACAGACTATATAATCTCTAGGTAGTCCATAACTCAGTGCAGTGATGATATCTATAAGTAACATTGTTATTTTTGTCCTTTTGTTTAGTTTTTGTAATATTTGAATTTTATTTAATACAACTTGTGCCACCAGTCATGACAAGCAGGAATAGTTTCCTGAATGATGGAAATAGTGTCCTTCCAGGAACTGGTGCCTTTCCAGTCATGGCTCATGGATGGTACTTCCATGTTTATCAATGTAAATAATGCAAAAGCTCCTTTCTAAATGCCCAATGAGTCTAATCACACTCCAAAAGCTTTGTGTACTTGTAGCAAGTCATTCCCATCACCCCAGCCTTCAATATAAATTCTAATGACTGACGGCAAATTCCAATCATCCTGGCTCTCGGCCATATTTATCCATGTTCACATCACCTGCCCCTCAAGCCAAATTTTTTCATGACATGATGGTCACATCATATGGATCATAGGGGTTAATTGTATTCTGACAATAATGTCTCTTGAAACAGGTTGTTGGTCCTGATCCTGGATATTTTGGAACAGCCACCATTGTGAGTCAGTGTGCTCTGACTGTGCTTCAGGAAAAGGACAAGCTTCCCAAAAGGTAGGCTAATTCTGCCATAAGTTTTTGCATAGTAAGAGCATTTTATACTCTTGATAGCAGTTAAAGCACAAATTTTTATTAAATAATTGTTAGTTTAATGTCATGCAGTCAGCTTCATTATTTAAGCTTCACAGTGAGGGACTGATATTAATTGTTTGCGATCAATTGTTTGCAGTGGTGGTGTGTTTCCACCTGGAGCTGCCTTCGTGAAGACTACCCTGCGCAGTCGCTTGGAGGACAACGGAATCAGCTTCAAAGTCAAAGAGTAGAGTCCGCTGAGGTTTCATGGGAGATTAGAAGGGAGAACTATAACCAAATTTCATATGGCCTTATTAATGCATAAATTCCAAAGATATATTTAGATCGTGTAGTGTGGAAGTACTTGGTTTTGAGGTGTGGATAATCTGTGGAGGTTAGGATTTCCTGTCAGATTATGTAATCATTGAAAAAGCAATATGAGGTATACTAGTTACCTTTTTTTCCCGTTTTTTATTTATTTACTTTTTTTTTCTTTTCCTTCTTTTGGCTTCGAAGGTAGTCAGTCATAATGGATGTTTGATTTTTTTTTTGAATTTTGAATTTTGATAGCATGACATGTTTAAAGTTTATTTCTCAAGTAGTTGACCTGGAAGTGTTTTTTCTCAGCATACTTTGCTTGCTTTACTAGCAGTCACTATGTCAGTTATTTTCTATACACATTTCTTTGTTAATTTTCTTACTTATTCCCTCTTTTTCCTTCTTTTTTCAAATGAAATGGTAATGTGATATGGAATATTTATGAGTGAAAGTTGTCTAATATTTTTTTATTGCAAATATCATTGTCCTAATAAAAGATAGATGATATGTGGGTATGAGGATATATTTTCTATATCAACATTGTGTAATAGGTATGGTGATACCCTATTAATAGTGCCAAAAAATTAATTAAATAATGAGGCTGATAATGAGAACTCACTAAATATTATGCCCTGCATTCACTTGACACCTAACGGTTAACTTGTTAAAGGGAGTGAGAGTGGTTGATTGGGGATGAGTAGAGTGAGTGGTGGTGATTGAGTGAAGTAAAGTGAGTGTGAGGGATGAGTGAGTGAGTGGAATGGTGTAAATTGAGTAAAATGAGTGAGCATGTTAAATAAATTGAGTAAGTTGAGTGATGTGATTAAGCAAATGGAATAGAGAATGAGAGGGATGAGTGGGTGAGCGGTGAGGAGTGTTTGGCGAGTTCAAGTGTTGATCCCTTCAATTTGAACCGTTTAGCCAGTAGCCTGACATATTTTCTGTTTGGTGTTTGGTGAATGCAGGTCCGTTCTCTTCTCTTATTCTTACATTCCTTCTATTTCATGTTAGACCAGTTAGTTATAGATCATGCACTAATTGTGTTCCGGGAAAGCATTTACTTAACAAAATAGGAACAGGTTTTGAGACATTTTTCTTTCGTATTCAAGGT